AAAATTTGAACTACTGAGTTAAAAGAAAAATTTTGATTTTTATTGTAAATAATTATTAATTATTTCAGCAAATTAGGTGGTATTAGTTATTTGTTGTTTTTAAAATGCAAATATTAACTATATAATAATTATACTTCGTAAATTAAATCATTATTATAAAAAAATATTATTTTTTAAAGAAATCTGTAATGATTTCTGCTTCATTGAATTTAGTTTCATTTTTTCAATAGTATTTTTTGAATTTGACGCAATCATCACAATAACTTTACAACTGACCAAACGAGATTAAAATAAAACTACATTTGGCTAACGACTATCGAAAAAATAAATTACGATTAGTGACGATTAAGAAATAAAACAATAAAGTTCTTACAATATTAATTTTATAGTTATCGAAAGTAATATGCTAAATTTTTACACGGATTGTATAGTAAATTATTAACAAAATGATTATAAGAATACAGATAAAATAAATTTGCTGAATATACTTTGAATTACCGAGCGTTGAACGGATGATACTTTGAATTGTCACGTGTTAGTTGCAAGTTTTCCCAACATTTAATTTCGAATTACCGAATGTACTTAAATGTATTGTTTTTATTCGAATTACCGCAAGATTTTTAAGGGACCGAACACTTACTTTGAATTACCGAAGGTTTCGAATGATCGAAGGTTTGAATTATCGAGAGTTAAGGGGGCTGGAGCGCTGCATGTTTTAAGGAATAATATTTAGGCAATTCATATTACATGTACATTTGGAGTGTATCGATGTGTGAGTAGTAAATGAACATTAGTGTGTGTAATCCGTTATCGCATTATTGTTATTATCTGTTGTCGCAAATGGCCAGCGACTAAAATACGAATTCCCGGAACATACGCCAATGTGCTAAGCGTGTACCCCAAAAAAATAAATAACGAATATCATCAAATAGGTTTAAATAATTAGGTTATACTATTATACGGTAATATTAGGGATGGCGGAAGACACGTACGACTCGGGCGACCGTATAGGGCTGCACATTTTTTTTTTTAATAAATATTTAGCGCCGGCTCTGGCCTTATAATATCAATTAAAATTTTAAAATATAAATCATAATTACCTGATCAATAATTAAGTCTTTTGAAGGTTCATTGGTATTTAATTTTCTTAAATTATTTAAATTATGAGGTTTTTTCCGGTGTGCAGACAACTTTAGTCGAATCTTTTTACGTCTACAGTCCCTCATTTTAATAATAAATGATTACAATAAACTTTTTTGTCTAGATTAGTTCAAAAATTGAATCAACAACACGTTGTAATAATACTCATAAATTCATCATTCATCAATACTTTTGATAACCATTCGTAGAATGAGATATGATACAATATTATACTCGTATAATAATTGTAAATTGGAATCCACAAAACAAACAAAAATAATTTCATACTGTGATGTGGCGCTATCGCTTATAATATTATTATTATTATAGTCAATACAATTTTATGATGTGTACAAAATTAGTTTTATAATCGGTCGCGGCTCTAAACCGATGCGGTCGCTGCGCGTGTTATCGCAATTTCGAGAACACATTAATTCTCATACGCGCATGCACAAGTCAACGACAAACGCATGAAACTATTTTTTTGTTCTTTTCAAATTGGTGAAAAGAGGTAAAAGCTGGAACAAAATTCGTCTAGTTCTGGTAATCCGATTATATATTTTTTAATATATTCTAATTTCTCAACTTTTCTTCTATGTTTTGTAGGAAACGGATTTTTGATTATAGTTCAAGTTATTTAATAAAATGCATTCAAATTTTTATTTTTTTTTAAAAATTAGCATACAAGTTAATAAAAAATTAAGAAAAAATAATAAAATTGTGGTTCCTACAAAACATAGTAAAGAAGCTAACAAATTTAAGTATTTTTTCAAAATTTAAATCGGACAATTAGAACTAGGTGAATTTTGTTCCAGCTTATTGGTCCAAATGCATGAAAAATGTAGGCTGCTCCAGCCGCCTTAAAAATAATCAAAACGATAAAAATATTTAAAAATTATCAAAAAACTGTGAAAGATTTTAAATATTTTAAGTTATGAAGATAATACTATCATGAAGACAACATTATAACGCCTAATGGTTTAACTCATTTCAAATATGTACATATCACATCGGTAGATGTTGAGTGAAGTGTTTCTAAGCATTCAATTTTTTTGATAGATAGACAACGTTATATAAACTTTTTCATTCATTTAAAACAAATTAACAATAATTGTAATCGAATTACTGTAAATAATAATTAGTTTAATATTCTATTATTAAATCAATAATAAAAGAAGAATAAGTTTTATTTTAATTCATCCATTTTATTTTTATTTTAACCTTTGGTTTTGTATCTTTTTAGATACACTGTTTAAAAATAGTAAATATATTTATATTTACACTATTTAGTGTCTTTTTATTATTATTATGCATCGTATTATATCATATTTTGGTACATTATCTTCTCAGTGTGCCAAATTTCTCACCAGAAAGTATATAAATAAAAGGACTCAAAACACAAAAACGTAAAAATATAGACAAAAGTTTTTATTGAATACATTTTCTGTGAACAACAAATATGGCGGTAAGTAAACGGCGTGGTATATAGGTGATCCTACGGACAAACACGTCACATGCGACTATAGAGTAATATAGAGGTGGCGTTAATTATCAAAACTATGTATCACAATTGAATCTAATCTGTCGGTCATTGACCCTAATTGAAGAGTCCAAGTAAGATAATTTTCTTCGTTAATCCCGCTGCTTTCAACAAGAAGTGATAGTGATAACTGATAACACTAATCTTTTTTTTACACGTGCGAAGCTTATAATACAGCAATTGTGGTTATCCATTCATTGAAGACAACGCAACTAGCGGAGAAAATGATCGTAGTTGGACTCTTCATTGGGAGCAATGACCGGCTTCAGTTTTGATAGCTAATGCCGCCTCTATCTAATTCTATGCATGCGATTCAGTCTACGGTTCGGTAGCGAGAAAACAACCGACGAACGACGCGTCGTTGTGGCAGTGTTATGATGGTGGGTTATTATAATGGAGGAAACAAACACCGCTATGATAAGTAGGGTTGATTCCCTATATTACTCCCCCCCCGGGCAATAAAAAACGAACTTGTTTCGTTTTTTTGACGACGTTGACATTGTTGGTGGCGTAAAAGTGATCCGTTAGTGGGTCTTGGCGAAGTATGAACGCTGGTTTCAATCTGTCGACGAACACCCAAACCTGTCGATTGTTGGCCTGTATTTTGAAGGTATTTTCATTTTCGTTTCAGGACTGCGTGTGGGCCTTCATATCGCGGATGGAGAAGTGGTCTGGTTGCATCGATCCGTAGGAACACATGACTGACGTTGAGTAATTCGCCGGCGACGAAAATGGGCCGTTTCGTGTTGTGATCGGAGCCGGGCGCAGGCCTTGACGTAGGGCCGCAATGAGCTCGAGTGGTCGTACCATTGTGAGTACGGGGTAAAACAACTCACGAGGTAGCCGTAGTGTGGTACCGTACACCATTTCGGCGGGACTAGACCGATATCCGTTTTGACGGTGCTACGCAAAGAGAGAAGTACCAGCGGTAATTTGATGCTCCAGTGGACCGATTCCAACACCGTGAGCGCGCTATTGAGTGTTCAGTGCAGTCGTTCGATCTTCCTGTTCGCTTGCGGGTGATAGGGCGATGCTCGTATGTGCTGAATGCCGAATGTAATTGATAACAAACGGAACAGGTCGGCCTCGAATTGTCGCCCTTGATCCGTGGTTATGACGTCGGGTACGCCGAAGCGTGAAAACCATTGATTCACGAGGGTAACAGTAACGGCGTGTATGGATATGTTGTCTAGAGGCCACGCTTCGAGCCAACGGATGTAGCGGTCGATACAAGTCAATAAGTATTTATTACCGTCTGACGGGGGTAGTGGTCCTACGAAGTCGATGTGTAGATGACCAAAGCGGCGTTCTGTCGTCGGAAACGGTATGATCGGCGACACGGTGTGTTTGTTTGTTTTGGTACGCTGACACTGGACGCAATACTTGACTCATCTACTAACTTGCCGATTGATGTCGGGCCAACAATAACGCACGCTGATCAACCGCGACGTTGCATTTTGGCCGCCGTGCGCGAGACCGTGTAGCGCGTCGAAAATGTTACGGCGAAAGGCGGCTGGCACGTACGTACGTGCGGTGCCGGTAGTAAAATCTACGTAGATCGGACCGTACGGTGTGTCTCGTGCCTGCAGCTGTAGCGCGGACTTGCTGAGGGCTGCCAACATTTTTTGTAGCTCCGCGTAGTCCGATTGTGCCTTGAACCATTGTGACGCGACTGGCAGGTGATCTCGTAACGCGGCTATCTCAAAACTTGAAAACGCGTCGAGGACGACGTTGTCGGTACCTTGTATATGTACGACGGCGTGGATGTACTGTGATAGGAATGATATTTGTCGTACTTGCCTGTCGACGTATTTTTCGTTTTTGTGGGTGAACATAAACGAAAGTGGTTTGTGATTCGTATCCAAAGTGGTGGGACGGCCTTCGATAATGTAAATAAGGTTACGGGTACAGAGGTATGCCGCGAGTAACTCCCGGTCGTACGTACTATAACGCGTCTCTGCGTCGGTCAGCTTTTTGGAATAGAAGCCAAGGGGCTGCCAGTCGTCGTCGTTTTTTTTGTTCGATGAGGGCACCGACCGATGTACCGGACGAGTCCATGCTAATCCGCAGCTCTGCGTTAGGTTTATAGGGTTTAATTATATTTAAGGTATTTAATTACATTTAATTATATTTTAAGGTTTAATTATTATTTTTATTAAAATGGAAGAAACTAGATATTTCAACAGTTTGGAACATATCCTTGACAATTCATATATAGTGAATAATATTTCTCTTCACGGAGAAACTAATGATTTAAATTTATTTACTACACGTTTATCAGAATTAGGTTTTGTCTATGTTGTGGCAAAGTCACTGAAATATGAAGGTAATTTATTAAAATAAGTATGAATGTTTAGATAGTTATTTATTTAATTTTTAAAATATGAACCAATAATATTAAAATGTGTTGCGTGACAGGAGAAAAATCTAAGTACAGATTTTCGCTTGGGCGTGGAGAGTTGCCAATTAAATTTATGGGTTGTTCATTTTTAGTTAAACAGTACATTTATTTTGAATGTAAAAATGGACCTCATCACAAATCTAAAGATCTGTGTAATTTATATCTTAATATTACATTGTAACACATAAAATAATGTAATTCATTTATTATAAATAATAATTGATGATAACAATTTTATTTTTAATAACAACAAAATTATAACGACGGTGTTGGTCTAATCGATTGCGTATAGACAGACCCGTTGAATCCCCAACATTATGTTTGATAGAGACATTCCAAAGATTATATAAATATTAATCTGATCACACGGTGATAAGATTTATCAATATTATCAATGTTCTTTCATTGGCAGTTTTTGTTCATGACGGCTGTGATAGACAAACATTTAGATCAATATTTTAAAGAGTAAGCCTTAGTAAGCGATAAACTAATACTGTGAGTATATATTTTAACACGTATATTTCATGTGTATGTACTCAAACTTTTTATCAGCAATTTCATAAATATTATTATTTGATATCTGTTGTATCCAAAAAGATACAGTGCTAAATTTACTGTGATTTGATTATGTATCTTATTGGACACACTACCTTGGTTATTAAAAATATTCAATGTATTTAAAAAGATACATCACTTCATATGACAATTTTGCAATGTGATATATTTATTTGCACAACAGTTTTATATATTTTTAAAATTTATAATATCGATTAAATTGTAATAAAAATATTAATTGTCGCCCTAAAAATAATTTAATATCATAGAATATTAAAAGATGAACTTCGTAAAATAATTATTTGAAAATATATTTAGAGTTTATTTATAAAAAACTTATTAAAATTGAACATGTAATTTTTATTAAAATATTAAAATATAGCCTTTTTTTGTATCTAGACATTATAATGATTTGATGATAATGATAATGATTTGAAATCAGGCAATATCATCTAGGTCTACAGACTTGTTAATGCTGCATTACCACCCATTGATTCAGAATGTTCCGATAATGAAAATGATTCTGATCTAACCAATACTTTTTCTAAAAATCAATTAGATATTGATCGTGCTTCAGATTGTAATGAATTTGATTCTGATACTTCAAACACTCCTTCTGTCGAAGAACTACTTGATATTGTAAATATGCTTATTTTTGACGAAATTGGAAATCCTTTTGATGTTGATATTATTGAAAAAAATAATGTAGTTGAACCACCAATAGATTTAACAATTACTACACCGGAAAATTTGTGTATAAATACTAATTGTTTAAAAAGTTTACATGATAATTTTGAATCAATATCTGGATCAAAGGAACGTTGTATTTCGACACCTTTCGAACAGAGAAAATCAACGAGATTAGCACAAATGAATACTATTAGAATGAATAGCACTATCTGAATCATTTTTAGCTTAACCTAGCATCGAACATTTATAAACATGTCATAAAAAATAACATATTTGCACGTGAAAAAATGTCATTTAAATGGTCAAAAAAATTTAACTTTTCCGTAGATATTCCACACCATACTTTTAAGGAAACAGTAAATGAAATATGTACACCTTGCAAATAATTTAAAATGTTTTTTAAAGAAAACATTTTTGAATTGATTGTAACAAATACAAATTTGTACAGTTCTTAAAACTTTGAAAATCCAATCACGACAAATGTTGATGAAATAAGAAATTACATTGGAATAGAGCTACTTATGAGTATAGTGTCCATGCTCGATTACACTAACTTTTGGTCTAAAAATCTAAGATACGAACCAATAGCTGGTGTAATGCCATTAAAAATATATCAATTATTCAACTGCACTTTGTTGATAATTTAACGATTGATCAATCTGATTGATTGATTGATTTGAAAATAAAACCTATTTTAGAGCATTTGAGACAAAATTTTTTATCATTTGAACAATACCTTGATATTATATAGAAGATATCACACACAGTTGTTAGGATCAGAAAAAAATATATACCTTTGAAGGATTTTAAATATTCCATAGCAAAAACACTACTTACACAATTAAGAATAGGAAGACCAAAATAACATACTGATCGTAAGCAAACGCATCCAAAAACCCACTCCAAAACCAATGATCAATACACGTCTTGACAATATTGACCACTTGCCTCAACATATAACAAAAGTTCGATGTGTACTCTGTTCTAAAGGACAAACCGTAATGAGTTGCAGTAAGTGTGAAAAAAGACTGTTTATAAATAATATGAGAAATTGTTTTTATACATATCATAAGGAAAAATAATGAAAAAAGGTACTGGTGAAACTTATGAACCATATTATCTTATTTAAAATTACCAATTTTATTAAATAATTTTTATTATCATGTTTTTATTATAAAAGTTAGCGTCTAGGGTATTACGTATTTTATTCTATTTTATATTCGATGCATTTATCGATTGTTATAAATATTATAATGGTTTATAATATTATATAAAGTTAAAGTTTTCATTTTATTTTATGTTAATTGCCTTTTTAGATACATGTTATTTTTAATGTCAATTATATAATTAGTTTGTAAAAATGTTGGTACATATTCAATAAATATCTAATAAAGATTAAATTAATTTTTACCATTCATATATTATAATTATATTTAATTAATTTTTTTTATAAGACTTAAATGAAACATTAGAATACATACTCTAAATTAATGTATTTTAAAAGATACAACAACGAATTATGCAATTTATAGGATTATATCTTTATGGATACATTGTTAATTTTCAGTTCACATAGTATTGTTTCTAATAAGATACAATTTGAGAATTTATATTTCATGGCAATATGTCTTTAAAAATACAAGTTATAACTCAAAAACGGTTTGCTAAAAACTAAAAATGACCTCAGGGTAGTCAATTTACTTTAATTTGACCATTTACACAATTTTAAAAGACATTTTTAGATTTGCCAAGTTAAGGGTTAAGTTTCTAACAGTTTTGAGTTTTGTAAGTATTTAGTATTCATTGCACATTTTGATGTTTTTAATTTTTTTTTTTTTGGCATATAATGACATTTTATCAAGCATATTTTAAAGTATATTTAAAACTTTTATATATCATATATTACAATTTTTTGGAACATTAACATTCGTTCTTTAGTTATAAATGTTTGAGAGACGCTCCATTATCAACATTTGTACACTGCTCAAGCTACCACACATACTTTCCCATTAATATTTATTTTTTATCCCATTTATGGTCTGCGCTCTTAGGATTTCCTACCTGTTTAAATAAATTCACAGAGGGATTCAAATCAAAAAAAAAAAAAAGGTAGATATTGCGACAATGGAAGGTATCAATGCAATAACGAGATACAACGAGATTCAAAATTTTTGTGAACGAGCATCAGACGAAGATAATTATAAAAAACCGTGTGATGTAAACATAATATTATATTTACCACAAATGTATTTAGTTTTTTCAGTACGTTTACGTTGAACCACTAAAAACCGCTTGAACTTGTTGTTATTATCATTTTAATTATACACTCGAATGAGCGGAATTAGAAAAAAATTGACACCAAGTAATCAGCGGTTTTGCTAGTAATGCCATGGGATCGCATGTCGAGGAACCTTAATCGGTTTGATGAACGTGACTCGAATGCATGCGGCTAGTCCCACGCTTCGCCCCCTCCCACCAAGGGTACCTGTCCTTGAAATCCCGGAGCCGACCGCAGCTAAAACGTGGAAAATCCGTTTTCGCGTATGGAGTTGTGTGACCGGACTCGAGGAACCTACCGCAATAAGATATTACTAATAACGTACACACGGGTGCACACGTACATTTCTACACGATATATTTAATAATATGATATCAATTACAGTAATATTATGAGATTAGAACAAAACGCGTCGGTAATGACGTATGTATAAATCGTAAAAATGCACTAAAACTATTGAACGTTGACTGCTATTTTGACGGACGCACAAGCACAATTTATGCATAATACGTGCGTACACGTAGTCAATAATAATAATAATAATAATAATAATAATATTTATAGTAATATTAATAATAATAATAATAATAATAATAATATTTATAGTAATATTAATAATAATAATAATAATAATAATAATATATTAATTACAACACGGCGGACGGAACGCGCGAGTTTATCCGTCACAGGTGAGTGACGCGCAGCCCGGGCGGCGGCAACGGTGGCGGGGGCGGCGGAGGCGACAAGAACCAGTCGTCCGATCCGCCGCCGCCGCGGCCTACCGCGGCTGTCGCGTGACCGCGGTCCCGGCCGCCGCTCATCGCCTGCCGCAGGCGGTTGTGCGCCTCGGCCGCGGCCACCACCGCCTCAGCCGCGGCAGCGGCCACCATCGCAGCCGCGTCCTCCGTCTGCGTGCAGCTGTGCCGCTTAAACCGGCCCTGGCCGCTCAGCTGCTGCGGCGGCTTGGGCAGCATGATGGCTTCGTCGTAGGACGGCAATTGCGACAGCTTGCGCGCCGACTCCGCGGCCGCCGCGTACTCGTCGAAGTACTCGTCCGCCCCCGTGCCCAGGCCGCCGCCGCGCGTCGGGTTCCCGTACTCGTCCAGGTGCCGGCGCCGGCGCATCGCCCGCCGCGTCTTGATGTTCTCGTGCACCGCCATGAAGATGGCCGTCAGCCCGGACACGCACAGGATCAGTATCACGCCGATGGCCATCGAGAAATTCTTCCGGTTGTCCCGGCCGTACGTCAACGTGTTTCGGCACGCCACCTGCCACGGCATCCCCGTCACGTTGTCCGGCGTCAAGCACTGCGGCATCCTGCGTGTTCGACATACCGATCAGTGTGTTGTAACCACAATATATTACAGTAGTTTTAAATTCGTCAAGTAAAGAGTAACCAGTACTGGCCGTACTCGTAACACGTTATTTTTTTATTACATTGCTTAATGACATTTAGTGTAGTTCATGATAATTATGTATTTAATTCAGTTCGTTTTAATTGTATTGGTAATTAAAAACTTTAAACTTCCTCCTGGTATTCATAAACAATTTCGATTGTCTATGTCTTTTAGGAAATTTCGTATTACGACGACATTAAGCGAGTAGTTGTAATAATGGAATTCAATAAATAATCACAGCATAATAGTAAAAAAAACCCTCGGGGGACCTCAAATACACCACTGTTTAGGATAAACCGTCTAAATGTTTTCTTTTCATTTTCGAAGACGTAACGTAGTCGCCAAGAGTGATGGTCGTGTAAACGTACCTTAACCATGATTATTCGATAAGCATTATTCTTAGTCTTGAGAATGATTTTACGTAGACGAAAATGATAGTTAATCGAAACCTGTTACCGGGTATCGTTTTTTATTTTTTCTAAAACTATCGGCTATAGGAGGTGTACCTTTCGATCGTCATCGCGTTTTTGTTGGTCTTATTGACCAGGTGCGCCATGTACGCGAAGTTGACGCTGTAACAGTCGCACCGCCACGGGTTGTCGTCCATGTACACGAGCCGCAGCTTGGGGCACTTGGCGAACGTGCCGTTCCTGAGCGTGACCAATCGGTTACCGGTAAGGCTGAGCTCGGTGAGGTTGGGCAGGTTGAGGAACTCACGCGCGGTTAGGTGCGACAGCCGACAGTAGCTCAGGTCCAGCGCGGACAGGTTGGTGGAACTGAGGCCACCGGGCTGTAGAGACTGCAGCGGGTTGTCGGCCAGCACGAGTTCGGTCAGTCGGTCCAGCCGGGCAAACGCGTCGTTCGACACGTACGTGATCCAGCAGTGGTGCAGGTCCAGCCGGCGCAGTGTGCGCGACGTCATCGGGCCCACGCTGTTGATGAAGTTGTGCGACATTTTCAGCGTGTCGAGGGACGGCAATGTGCGCGTGATCGTTTCCCAGGCCACGTCCGCGATCATGTTGGTGGACAGGTCGAGATGGGCGAGCGACGTCATGCCGTAGAACGCCAACGGGTCCAACTGTAACGCACAATACACGATGATCATTGTTTGTTTATTCGACGCACAAACGCGTAACTGGTGTACAATATTTCTGATGGGTTATTTTTCTAACTATGCGAACAACGTAATGTATTAGGGCTTTGAATCCACCAAGACAAGTACATGTCGATCGATTTGTAAGCATAGATGCCAACATTTAGATAAATGGTTGAGATCAAAGTTATTACAGAATCGAAGCATACGACTATATACGACTAAAATGGGTTCGTTATAACTGTGTGATTGGAATGACCCATAAAAAGTAATTTTATACCTTCCTAATACGAAAAGCTTATATCGACCAGTCTATTTTTTTTTAGTATTTCAGTGCACAATGGTTATTCTTAATTAACTTTTTTTTAAATAAAAAACACATCATTAAATTTACGTCTGGCGAGAAGTGTGTGTAGGTTCAGAATTGATTCAATTTCCTTAGTTGTATCATTCAAAGTAAATTTGTTAGACGAATACCTTAAGAATTATGACTGTACTTTATTCAAATGGTTGATTTGATTAAGTTGAGAAGGATTTCAAATTATGTATCCATATTCTGAATTCACACGTACCAGGAAACAATGTTAAGTTTTAAGACATTGTATATTATTAAAATTATAACATAGACGTCTAATGAATCCTAACATGCGTAACGCTTTATTACAGATTTTTGAAATATATTCAAAGAAAGAAAGATAAGTGGATAAAAAATAATACCGATATTGTATTCAGATATTTATCTATTTATTTTATTTATAATTGTTAACGAGCAACGTATATTAACCAATGTATGGAAAAACGTTATTCGTAAACGCACTTTCACGCGTTTACGTTAATATTCTGTAAATGATACGTAAACGTCACTCCTTTTTTCACGTTTATATTTATAATGAATTCGAACGATTTTTGGGGTGTTCAAATTTATTTAACATTTTAATAATTTGTGTATGAATAATAAATATTGATTATAATATGTTTAAGTATAGATTTTAAACATGAAGTAAAATATACTTAATACTTAATTTTGTAAAGGTCTCATTTATACAGAATGCAGGTAGGTGATTCATAAATTTACAATCATTTTTTTTTAATTGATTTGCCAATTGAACGCGTTTATTTTTTCATAGAATTCGAATGTTTCAATGAGTTCCTTTTTTAAACAAACGTTTCGAACCCTAATATATATTGAGTAAATTATATATTAAATATGGTACGTGATATATTTATTACAATAAGACATTTGAAATATAATAAGAAAGTACGTGCATGTTTTAAATTTTTCTTATTGGAATAACACTAATTTAATACTAAAAGTTTTATTTGTATTCGTTTAGTTTTAGTATTAAGTTTTATTTTATTTGTATTATTAGCATATTTTTAACCATTTTAATTATTTTTCTTCGCATATTCAATGCATATGCAATTTAATAGTATACGTTTGTATTAATAACTCATAGTTTGGTTTTGATCGTCCAGTGCAATAAGATGAATTGATAAATATATATTCCACAACTAATAAATATTTTTATTTTCTTCTTCTTAAGCGTGAGTTATTTTTTTATGAACCGATAATATTATTGATAACATTTAATATACCTTGTGAGAGGACGGGGATCTTGTATAAAGGAGTCGATGTGACGTTTTTCCGCGTCAGCCTATGAGTCAAAAAAAATGTAATACATTGAACCATACATTACTGTTTCGCGGAGCTCATTTTATTTTTATTCGAAAATATCACTGTACTATAAATCAGTATTTCGAGTGATTCCAAATTCATCCTAATGGATTTTTTTATTAATAATTTCTCAGACAGGAATTGTATGGAAAAAGAATCAACCATTATCTTTCGAATTCCTAACTTACAAAAATCTTATACAGATATAAATTGTTTAAATTCGCATTTTTTTTATTTTTATTTTGTTGTTACTAATAAATTATTTCAAACAAGTTTAGCTTTAGAACAATTGTTTTTTTTTTTAAATATCTGGATAAAATGTAAGCATTCCTATAAATAATTGTTCGAGTGTATGATAATCAAACAGATATGCAATCAAGTTATTATTTTGCGATTTTTAAGTTTTATATTGCATTTTCAAGTATGAAGTGATTTAATTATAAGACCTCCATCGAAGTACTTAAATAATTAAACCGAAAAATTTTACAAACACATATATTTATAAATTATACGTACGATTTCCACGCTATTTTTAGATAGATCCAAATGAACTAGCTTTGTATTATTGATGAACTGATAGGCCACAAGTTTTCTGATTCGATTTTCATTTAGAAATGCAGATCTAAGTTCACTCATACCGAGTAAATTTGGTGTTCGTAAAGAGCACCTTGAAACGTCAATCGTTTTAAGGGACCTAGCTTGTATTTCGCTCTTTAAGAACAACTGTTCGTTTAAACTGGCATCAAATATCTCGAGATTTTTTAAATCACTCAGAGCTCTTTCGCCAAGATAGTTGATCAAGCAATTTCTTATATTTAATATTTTCAAAGAGTACGAGAATACCCCATCGAAAAATTTTAGTGGGTTGTTCGATAAGTTCAAGTATTCAAGCTTTTTAAGTCCACTGAGAACTAAAGGTCCAATCAAAGAGGTAATCTGACAATTACTGACATCCAATACTTCCAAAGAATTGCTGCTTAATAACGTGTGCTCTTCATAGCCAAGATGGGTGATAGGATTACTCGATAAGTTAAGGAGCTTGATTTCCTTGCTGTTGAATAACAAATCATGGTTTAGCGTCGATAAATCATTAATCGAGTTATTACTCAATATCAGCTCTTCTAGATGCCATACGTTTAGTTCTGAAAATGTATGGAGCTCGTGAATATTATTATTGGATAGGTCAAGCTTCTTGCATTTTATAATTTTTGTTATTTCTATAGGAATCGTGTTCAGTGTCATGTTTGAGAAGTCTAAATATAGTATCATCTGAAAAAACAAATATCATTAATTTTAAATTTTATGCAGTACAACTTGAAACGGTTTTAAATTAAAAAAAAAATTATAATTAATTTCATTCATCAATCTACTGCGGCTATTTTGAATAGATTTTGAGGCATGGATTTATTTTTTAATTTTCAAGGAGTTCCAGTATTTGAGTTATTGCATTTCCATCGTATTTAAGTTTAATGATTTTTAATTTACAAAGTTTCATATTGCTTTATTATTAGTTTTATTTGTACAAACTTTTGAGTAGATAGCTAAAGAAATCAAATAAAAAAAAAAAGTACCTAAAATTAAAAAGTATAATACTTATATATACGATAGCTTTTATTATATTTTATAACTTTATTTTAGTTTTTGCGTATAAATAAATAATTTATTGAATATGATTATATTTTAAAAGTACCTACTTAGTATTCTATAAAATTATTGACATTTGATTTTGTACAGTTTTTTATATGTCTGATTATTTTGATATTTATCGTCGATGAATAAAATAAATGATATAAATCTCAAAGTATTTACGGTTAGAGTTTATTTAAGATAAGTTGACTAATAAAAATATTTAGTTACGTAAATAAATCAAAAAATGATATAGAAGTATTTGAAAAAATACAACTTTTATAATTTGAACAAGTAAACAAGGTATTGTGATATTTATTATATGATTAAATTTAAGAACATAAACAAAAACGTACTCTGAATTCTTGATAATTTAACGATCCTTAAATGATTAAAAAGTGTAATTAAAAATTTTAGTATTATTCACAATTCATTGGGTGAATGAAATTGAAAACGCTAAAATGTACATTGCTAAAAATGTTACTCCGTCTAGTCCAATTCATCGTACATAAAAAATGGAAAAAAATGTGTTTAATTGAAAAATATAACCTCTTTAATATTTAGTGGAGTATATAATATAATAGTAGTTTAGACCAAAAACTTAAATCAAAAATTTGTTATGAAGTAAGATCGATGTTAAAAATTTATATTATTTTTGATGATCACATTAGCGGAAGTTGTGTTGATAACAGAACACTAAACAAATACATAAGATATCTATAATGTCGATAAAATATGTGGTACACATTAAAAAAAATCTAAAAGTATATTTCTTATTTGTAGCAATAGAATATATATATAGATCGTAGGCCTGTCTAAAAAATGTTCGCAGGTATGGACAGTAACATTTTTCATTAGGAAAATCGAAATTTTCATTTAGGATACGAACACAAAAAGTGTGACTTATAAACAATACACTACCTCAAGAACGTACATGTTTAGTAATTGTACCTACTACAGTAGCTATAGCTACTAAATAATATACTCACTTTCTTCAAAAAAATAAAAAAATCTATAATATTACATATTTTATTTTTTTGGAGAATAAAAAAAAAAATAGAATATAATATAACATAAAACTACACAGGTACTTATGGCTATGGATATTAGATAATAAATATTATGGTATTATATTATTGGTATATATATTTAATATTCTATGTGAAAATATTTATAATTTAGTTCTGTTTTAGTCAATCGTTCTTTTTACTTTTCAGTAATTATTTTTTAACGATTTAACCTTACATTTAAAACGAAGCTAGATTTTGCAGGTCCGACTATTGCCAGAGTAGCCATAGCCGTAAACACGCCTATGATATAGATACTCGTAACTATTTATTAATCAATTGAGTAAAAACTGTATATAAAAGATAAAATAAATGAAAAGTAATGTCAAATTATATAAACGTTTGATGCCTTGTGTTCTACAAACAATTGTTTGTTAATTCTTTCAAAACAAATTGAATAATTTTTATCGGTACAATAATTACGTGATTAATAATTCATATTATTTAATGCATGCACATAAAAACAAATAACGAACTTCTTAACGTCGTTAATATTGCATTAGTTTAATGGTGCTTACATTATAAATTAGTAAATTATAAATTTCGTGTTTATTCTGAAAATATTTATATTGATTGTTCATCTGTATTAATAATTCACACAAATGATCAATACTATTAACACATATGAAGAAATAACCGTATGAATACTGCTATACAATATCAATTTCACTGATTTTTATTTTATATATTAAACTATTTATATGTTATAGTTAAACTATTTTCAAGTATGAAATATAAATATTTTTGAATTATTTTGTACTCTTGTTACATTATATAAACGTTTTATATTGAAATAAAAACAAAGACTCGTAATAAATCTCATCTGAAATTTTTTATGATTTCAGAAATCATTAAATTATTTATCACAAAATTAGTAATACAAAGGTGAATACAATTTTACAGAGGTAGTGTATATTATTATTTAATTGAGAATTCATAATTAATCCAATGATTGATTTAGAAACTAAAATTATTAATCTGAATACTTAATTTTAATATTTAGGTGATATTAAAATACGAATGATAATAATAATATTAATACCATATCAAAAATGAATGACGTATGTGATATTTCCACGTACTCTACCTTCCTACGAGTATTTGTCTATATTTATGTTAAAACATAATAACATTTTCGAACTTTGCATTCGTGTTTTTCTTAAATAAAACATTTTAGCGTCAACCTTTTAAAATACTAAATGTGTAATTGTTTTTAAGATGCATCCGCATGCTTAAAATACCAACAACGAAATTCATTATTTCTATTTACAGGATCGAAATAATTACTTAATGGTTAATAATAACCATTAATACGAACACGAATATTGTAATGTTATAAACAATCTTACGGTTTATTTATAAATAACACGAAAAAAATCAATAAATACGATCAATTGCACGAATAATAGTTTGAAGTAAAAATTTTCATTATGCTCAATAATTGAATATACTTTTACGAATAAGTTCAATAGAATCGATGCATGGTATTTAATTATAAATATAGATAAAAATAAATCGCATATATTATTTAAATGGTATTAATTATCTACTTATCATGATATGAGTATGCAATAAAGAATAATTAAAACAATCTTTTATTTTAATAAATAAAGGTCATATAGTCTCAATAGAGAATTTAATTTAATTTGAAGTTACAATTGTTTTAATATAATTATATTTTGAGTAATTTAGAACGAAATTTAATTTATATTTCGATATGTATGCGTTTACCAGTAATTACTAAAATAATCTCTTAAGTCATTAAAATGATTGATTATACATTTATAGTTCTATTAAGTACATTCTTCAGACTTGATAATATGATACAGGATGTTTTGGAACCAAACAATTGTTTATTTAATGAATTGATTTTGAGATTCTTTTATTTTAATTTGACATTTACATTCACGAATAGTTAAAAATATGCTTTTTGAAAAACAATTTGATAGCTAAAGTTTACGAATAGTAATACATATCACAGGAAATTATGACTAAATTAAGTTAAACATTTTTCATCAACACAATCTTTGATCAACCTTACCGGAAAATCTATACCATATTGGAGAACATCAGTTAAGTTGGCGCCAGAACAAAGCATCTCGATAGGTGAACAGTAACATTGGCTAGGGCACGTTATTTGTTTGGGTGATAGAAGCAATTTTCCATCAAACGGTTCTTCAGTTGATATCTTAATAATACACAGCAATATCACCAACAGTCCTGTCCGTATCCCTAAGCTGATCTGAAATGTATAAAATATCTGAAATTCTCTCAATATCATTTTTCATATTTTAATGTTAATAACATTTTTTAGTAATATAATGAACAATGCAATTATAAACATCTGACAGTGGGCATGAACATGAATGGTGTATCGTCTCGCGTCATTTTTTTTTTTTGGATTCAGATTTGAAAATATTTATTTAAAATTTCATATATTATCCTCGAATGACTCGTCGGTTTCAAATATCGCCATCCTGATGGATCGTACAGGATTGGAATTTCAATATTATTCCGCTATTTTCTTGTAAATATAACGGAAATCTACGATCCGGTTAAGATTTTTAATACGACTAGATTAAAATAATTTATCAAATATAACAATAATTTTAATAGTCAATATTATTATTAATATCATATTGGTAATTATCAATCGACCAAGAAGAATTATTTAAAAGAGACCTAATCCGCTCACCATTTTATGTGAAAAAATACTTTCGACATGGAAGTGATCACATGAGCTTTTTATACATTATTATTATTATTTTTTAATTACATGTTATGAATATTATGGTAATAAAACAAAATAAGTCAAGTATAACTAATAGGTCGATGTTTAACAAACATTTTTTACTAATTTGGAATGCGATACAAAAAAAAGTTTTTACGAGTTAGGAATTTTTAAGTTGGCCGTGTGTCAAGTAAAATAGCGGTTAAAAGTTTAATTATAAATTGAATTATTATCATAGTGTGATTATGGTAGTATAAGAATTGTGTAAAAATTGGATTAAGTCGGATGTGTAACTATGGAATAGTGTGAGGTACGGATTCGAATTTTCAAGTAAGTAAAGTGTGTCACTTGAAAATAAATAATATAGGGAAATGTAAGAAATTTATTAAGCTTATTAGAAAAAAAGCATTAAGATCGTTTTTATTATATTCTAAAATCACATGAAATAATTATGTTATTTATGTTATCAAAGAAAACTTAACCTAACTTTAAATATATATATATATATATATGATAACGTTGGATAAAATGTTACACTAATAATATATTGGTGAAAATTTACTTTTTATCGTTAAATAAAAATTATAATATTTAGAAATCAGTGATAGTAATATCACAGACATAACTAACTTAATGTTAGTTAATATAACTCGTTTATACTGAAAAAAAAACTAAATGACCTTAGATTTCGGAAAAAGGCTTACAACACTTACCACCGGTCTCCTTCCTTAGTTACTGATAGTTATTATTACACTTTTTATATACGTATATAACCATCGAAGTTCATTATAAATACAATTAATTTATATTTATTATATATATATATATTTTTTTTTTTAAGCAAAAGTAAAACCTATAGAGCTTATTGACTCTTTATTAAAGATTTTTTTTAAACCAGTGACGGTATAAGGTATATATTTATACTTTGAAATTATATACAGACAAGTATAGAATATATTTAAAAAGCTTACAAGAACACAAACAAAACATATTACATCAGTATATATAAACTAATTATGTGGTTATAAAGTAGGTATTTAATTCAATATCAATTGAAATGTATAGAATATACAATTTAAAGACGTCGTGTAAAATTATTAATTGATGGTGATGTTTTATTATCCAGACTATGTTATGCTGTATATATAATGCATACTATTACTGTAAACTTTTATGTTAAATAAGGTAATTTGCATCGTTAGAAATCAATGAAATTATATTTCCTTTTCAATTTACCTAAAAAAATTTTTGTTGATAATTTAACAGTTTCATTTATTCCACCGGGTTAATTATGAACGACATATGCGAGTGCATGTAATTAATAGTTAAAAATTACAGAGAATTTCTTAAATGGCCTAAGAAACTAATAAAAGCGTACTATCCAGAGAGGCCAAATGAAGGATTTTTTTTTAAATTTTTATTTTTCACTTACATAACTTGAGTTTTATCTAATTATCTTAAAAACATTATCCTGTATCCAAAAATGAAAATTTGTAAGAGATATCTTTCAAATTTCTCATGTGAATTTATAAGTGCAATCGATTTTGGGCTTATCATGCGTTTTTAACGTCTGAGTCACCAAAATCAAAAAATGTGTTATACGTCGATTTGTATGAGAATTCTACAAGATAAATTATGGTGACATTTATTGGTAGTTATTTCATTATATACATCTGATTAATTAACTCAGTTTTTAAATGGTCAACTAAAAAAAAAAAAAATTTAACAAATTTATGGTTAACTATCTCATTTTTAAATAATCGAAATTAATACCAAAAACTTTTTGGTTTTTGGTTTTTAGTTTTTAGGTTTTTGGTTATCACTGTAACATCATTATTTAGACTTGATAAAATTAACATTTTATTTTGAACTAATTATTTATCAGAATAATATGGTTTTTTTATCAGTTCAATACTTTTTAATGAACAAACAATATACATTTTAAAAATCATAATTTACATTTGAACAATGGTGTACACTTTTGCTAAATAAGTAGTTATAGTTTGCATCTTGGGTAAGTACTAGTTCATCTAATTATTAAATTTATCAAACCTATTTAACGTATGATAAATTACATATTGTTCAGTGTATTGAAGTTCAGGAAGGTCAAATTGAATAAATTTTATAAAAATAAATCCAATTTAACCCGTCGTACGGCGCACACATTTGGATGTTATATTTACGCGTACGGGGTAAATTTTTACCCCAAGGTAATTATTCACTATAGTATGTTATAATTTGAACTTCATTGATCTATTTTTGTTATTTGCTATTCATATTTATTTTAAGAATCGAATAACTCGATAGGATTTAATTTTAGTCTATTTTTAAAAAAAATAATAGTATTTTCCTGTAGTAAATATGGCCTCGACGTCAATATATTACGAGTTTATTCGCTTTTAATAACACCATATTATGACTATATATTATTGAATATTTCTAAGTAATAAGTTAAAAATAGGTACTTATGAGAGATATACAGAGATTCTACAGCATACAGTGATTAAAAAATATTATAATTTTAAAAAACACGGGGTAAATAATTTCCAGATATCACTGTATACGACTTTAATACGTTCTAGATGAAACAAAATGTACAAAAATAACATGAAACAACAAACAGTATATTTATAGTAGTATTATTCAATGCTACTGAGAAAGACAAGCACCTAAATACATTATTTTATTATCTATACACAATATAAATAAATCTGGGATAATTATTCACACCGTTCGCCGTACGACGGGTTAAATAAATTGTAATAAAATATGTTTATTTTACTGTGTAAAAACTGAGTTAATTAATCTGATATTAAATAACAACAAATAGATGTCACCATCATTAATCTCGCAGAATTCTCATACAAATCGACATATGTGACATCACATTTTTTAATTCTGGCGACTTAAAAATGCATAATAAGCCCAAAATCGATAGCACTTATCGATTCACACGAAAAATTTGCAAGAAATCTTACAAGTATTTATTTTTAGATTTAAGATAATATTTTAAAGATAACTAGATAAAATACAAATTTTGAATCTTAATTTTACCGTTCAAGAGATTATGTGAATATTAGTTTCCTTATCTATTTCAGAAATACTCTATATGTTGTATATCTGTTCTGATTATAATTTATTTAAACATGACTTGAAGATCAAATATTAAATTAACAATTCCTCAGCTCACAAAGACGATACAATAAATATTTGTTTCTCGGTATGTGTGTAGTTATTCTCAATTCCATAGTGCCATAAATATTTATAGATGATGATTGAATACCATATACAAGGCCGTATCTAAACATTTTTTTCGGGAGGGGTCCAAAACATGTATATTGTAACTTTATTGAATTTATATTTTAACTTCTAATATTTGGTTAAAAATAAGACAGAAAAAGATTTTATCTTCTTTTATTAAAATTAATATCATATTTTCATATGATATTATGATATAAAACTAAAAGCAGTCAATGGTTAATTGGAGCCTAAGTCATTTTTGACTGAAAATATTTATGTTGATATAAATAATTATTTTGAACATTCGTAAAATATTGAAGAAATTTCGAGGGGGAGGATCCAGATACCCTGGACCCCCCAAATACGGCCTTGACTATATATACCATATGTTCAATTTTAAAGGTAACAGGAAATATTTCGAACGCAAGACCTTGAATTTAATTCGGGTTTTTTTTTACCGGGTACAGGACTTATAAATACATTTGTTTTTGATAAATTCTAATTTTTAACTTTTTTTATTTGCGCATGCGCAGTAAAATAGAAATTTCTTAAATAGGAACCACTATTTTTGACACTGGATTTGGTTTGCTCTATTTTTTTTTTGAGCAACTTTGATCTTTACAGTTTTTTGATATGTTCAAAATTGACATTTTTAAGACGGTTGAAAGTTTTAAATTAGGTAATTCGTATTTATCGCATATTTCAACGCTCTACGTATCTTAGTCAAGCATTTACAGATATTATAATAACAATTTATTTTTATTAAAACTACAAGGTGTATTTATTATAACATTGAATTTATAAACAAATATTATAAGATAATAATAATAAAATAATAATAATAATAATAATAATAATTTATTATTCTATAAACTGTTCAAAATTATTGTCATTATTTTCAAAATATGCTTCCATTCGTCTAAGTAGTTCTCTTTGTGTAGCTGCTATTATTTGATCTTTGGTGAGTTCATTACATGCAATGATTATTTTATTTTTCAAATCATTAAGATTAATAGGTAGATTTTCATAAACTGCAGTTTTTAAATGTCCCCATAAAAAATAATCCAACGGTATTATATCAGGTGATCTAGCGAGCCATTGTACTGGACCATATGTACTCATCAATTTATTGCTAAAAGTTTGGCTAGGGTATTTTCGAACAATAATTGCATTATGGGCGGGAATATCTTGTTGGAAAATGCTTTGAAATATGCGATAAATACGAATTACCTAATTTAAAACTTTCGACCGTCTTAAAAATGTCAATTTTGAATATATCAAAAAACTGTAAAGATCAAAGTTGCTCAAAAAAAATAGAGCAAACCAAATCCAGTGTCAAAAATGGTGGTTCCCATTTAAGAAATTTTTATTTTACTGCGCATGCGCATATAAAAAAAAAGTTAAAAATTAGAATTTATCAAAAACAAATGTATTTATAAGTCCTGTACCCTGTAAAAAAAACCCGAATTAAATTCAAGGTCTTGCGTTCGAAAGATTTCCTGTTACCTTTAAAATTGAAAACACGGTACATACATTTTAATAACTTCAATTACCTATTTCTTTAGTAAGTATTTATTTCGGTACCAAATTTAGATTATTTTAATATCGCATGATAAATAGTCTATTCACTTAACCTTACAATGCATGATTTTTTTTTTTTTAATAAATTTTTTTATCATCAATAATACCTACAAATGAAGCGAAAAGTATTTAAAAAAATATAAATCATTTTTTTTCTTAGAAATAGATGAGATTTTAGTTTGTTGCCATATGGCAACACTATGCATTTAAGGTACGCATTTACTTAAAATATCATTATTTTATTTTATTTTTGTGAAATAAGTATAACAATAAACAATATAGATGCCTTATATATTTATAGTCAACACAGTAGGTTGGTACCTATAATACAGGTATACGTATAATTTATACCTAAACTATATATATAATTATAAAAAAAAGTAACGGCTAAGTTACTATAAGTTAAGTATTTATTTCGGTACCAAATTTAGATTATTTTAATATCGCATGATAAATAGTCTATTCACTTAACTTTCCACATCCTTACATTTGAATATTGTGTAACCGTATCGAACAAATCACTCGGCATGCTACACTGTTACAATTTTATTATTTTTTTCAGTAATCATTTCAAATGGGATTTGAATATTTTTCTATGCGTTCAATGTAAGTTCATTAAGGATATATTTTAATATAGTGAACCGATTATAATCTAATTTAATTTCATTGGCATAAGGTAACAGCGCCTCCTCAGCATATGATTTCAAAAATGAGTGCAATAAAAATAAATATATTTTAAAATAAATATAAATTAAACCAATGTAACCTTGAATTATGCAAATGCTTTAGATAACAACTTTAATAACTAAGATTTGTAATACACGGTATAATTGTTATTAAAATATAATTTCACTCGTGTCTTTTTAATGACAATTAAACCAAATGGAAACAATAAATCGTGTGTACATTTTTATCCACCAAAATAAAATATAACGTCACTTACACTAAAATATCTACAAAGTGCACCTAATTTTATTTTATTATCAATCGATCGGTAAACATCTTTTATTTTTTATTTATAGGAGTCTTTTATATCGTATATCTATGTACCACACCATTAACGTATGATTGTTCGACGATTCCGTCTGCACACTGAATATTCGAGTGTGTATTATTATAATGGAGGGAAAAAAAACTAAATCGAACACCAAGAGTAATAATGGAATACATAAGCAAATATTGACACCACGCATATCGTTATCACACAGCAGGTGATATCTTAAAGCGTTTATCTTTATTATGTTCAGTGTGCTCATAAACTTATAATAGCGTATAGTGTTCCACTGACAACTGAAAATGGTATATTGTGCGTATGTGTACACTGGAGCCCATTAACATAATAATGTTATAGCCTGCGCAACGGCTGCGACAATTTACGAGTATATTTGGTACCTATTTTTATGGTTTTTATCGACTACCTTTTAAACTGATTTAACTTAATATGAAATACTGTAGTGAGTGTTTTTGTTATAACTATTCTTCACTTATATTCCGTCAAGTCCAATTATACGTGATAAAAATTCGTTCAGTAGCACCGGACTCGGTTTTACTCGGTTCAATTAAAAATACAACGATCACAAACGCCCCAACGGCCACAAGACTACCATTTTACTTTGCATAGAAAAATTATTTGTGCTCTCAAATTACAAGTATTAAGCATGATTCATACTAATAAGACACGTATCGACAGACACCGTTCCGCAAAATATTTCATTATGTGCTTTAATTCAGGCAATTCACATTTGAACTTTTTTGTTTAATATACTCGTATATACCGATCTGAAAGAGCCCGTCCGGAATTTCTCGCGAGAATAATCGCGAGATCAGAATATTGCAAAGTGCAAACCATAGATTGGTCCCTCTGATTTCCGGTCTCATTTTAAAAATGTACTCAGGCCGTGGCCTGACCTAAGCATAGAGTTCGAAGCCACCGAATTCGTCGATAAACCGATTAAAAATAATATTTCCAATCACATAGAACATTATGACGCGAATCAATAGTTTATTATTATTATCGTTATAATCTCGACTGCAACGATTGAAAATAATTTTTTAATTTCTTTTGGGAACCGCAACTCGATTATTGCGAGTTAATGTTGTGTTTCAGTGTTAAAAAATAAAATAAAAATTAACAAATAAAAAACTAATAACTCGTTGACCTGCAATTAAAATTATTATTCTATCGGTATAGTTCAGTCATTAATATAAATGTTTACAACAATTTTATCGTATTTTAATTCTATTTATTTAGGTCTTCGCTGCGCATTTAAATTTGTGCTCCGATTCTCTCGAAATATAAATCATATTTTTAAATATTTTTGATACTTAAATCCCATATATTTACAAGTTTATTACAAAATATTGTTTTATAAGACGAATCATACGTTTTAACACTTATGATAAATTGTTACTAATTTATTTAGTATAAAACTATATATGTTCGTATTGTAGAATATATTTTTAAATAATGAAATAAATATGATTTAGTGATTGAAATCATCAACGCAATAAAATAGTTTGTATTACTAATCATAATATTTAAAAACAAAAAATACAATGGAAAACATACTACGTTTAAATGATTGTTTTATTTCAAAAGAACGGCCCGAAATGCATTGTAATAAATTTTACATACGTAGAACATTTTTTCGTGGCATCGGATTTTAATAGATCAGACAAAGGATTTAATGGCCATGTCGTTTGACATATTTTATAAAACGATTATTAAAAAGTTACTGGTTTGGCTTATCGTAACTGAAATTACAGTAATCGAATGTTTACGCGTGTACGTCACATACACACACATACATGATGTATGATACAAATTATTTTTATGTTTTAATTGTTAAAGTTGACGCAACGTAGTCTCGCCTAATTCACGTGATGTGGCCTTATTTCGTCTTGGTTATCATCACGTTATCAACTGTTGAGAAACGAGAAAAACTTCGTTGAAGCACGCTATACTGTTACTATTTTTGTAGGCTATTTTTTAATTTTATTATTGTGTAACGAAATGAAATGAAACGAAAACCTAATAGAACTGTCGAGATTATGGCTGCGTCTGCAAGAGAAGACAATTGCGGAAAATAATGCTCAAGTCGGATGGAAGGGGGCGTGGGGTGGGGGTGATGAATGAGTATCGATATTTGTAAACCTATGGAGAAATCGAATATGGCTATAAAAATACGGATATTTATCGTGTTTGGTGGACGTGCATCCAGGCGGAGGGATTGTTCGTGAAATATTTTTTTATTTATTTTTGCTACAAACAAGTAATTTACCTTCATGGTCGGAGATCCAATGCGAAATAGAACGTAACGGCCGACCGGTATATGAGCGTGGCTAAGGGTCAACGTGACCCGTGGGCGACGATGACGAGGCAGTGCAGTGGAGTCTGTTGGCGTACACGAAGATAGACAGCGGTTGTGCACGGAAACTTACATCGAAAATATATCATCGTTTAGTGTAGGCGCACGTGGAAAACCAAACGCGTGCGATCGACGAGGAGAAGGGTTAAATGATAGAAAATTAAAATTAAACGAATATGGCACCGTAAAAACTGAACTAAACGAAACGAAAAAAAAAATCAACGAATTGTCCGCGCGCACGTTTTACTATATATTACTCGCAACAATAAACTGTACATCGTATAACATCGTACACACACGTAGATTTATATACATATGTGTGTGTGTGTGTGTGTGTGTGTGTATTTATGTATTATGTGTTTATAATTATTGGTCTGGTTTCGTATTTCTGTCGTTTACGAACGCGACACAAAGCTACACCGATCACTTGTTTGCATGTCACCAATCCGTCGGCAGATAAGACTGGAACTTCAGTGTATAAATACGTTCAACCTAGCCCATGACTCTGTACGTATAATTACTCAACTAGAACTGATTAAGAAAATTGTACTGAACTCTACTGTGTGTGTAGGGATAATGACACATACACACACACACACACACATGCACAAACGTCATCAACCAGAGTGATAAGGATGCCCAAACATTGCAGCACGCACTCGTTTCGAAATAATACCCGTAGTATTGTCTCTTGTTAAGATCCATAAAACTATAATTTTCATTGTATATCGACTGTTATTCAATATTGATGTTCATGTATTGGCTGTTTCCAAAAATGTTTCGAGAAGTGTCATAAATTCCTTTCGAATCGTTTCGAACACCACGGATCAGCACAAAACCAAAAGAGTGCACAGGATCAACAAAGAACAGTTTTAAGTGTAATTTTAAAACTAAACTTTTTTTTTTTTAATTTCAGAGAAGGTGGAAAGGTACATTTTTTATTTTTATTTATTTATTTATTTTTTTTTTTAATCTCCTTCGTGTCATAATATATCGTTAACGGTAATCACTAAAGTTAAACTACATGACATTAATTGTTTATTTATTTTATAATTAAATCACTTCATATTTTTAAACTTTTAAATTATATTATTTAAATCAGTGAAACTGAAATCATTTTCCATTTTAATCAGAAGTTAGTCTCGTTCACAAATTAATCAAAAATCGATTTATCAAAAAAGTACTTTATTTTTAATATATAATTGTACTTATATTATTGTTGAGGTGTATCATACTATGACGTGGATCAATAATGATAAAACTGAAAACAAACAATCCCGTTTTGCGGTTACATAAATCATTTAAATATTTCAAAAGCATAAAAAGTACATGTAACTATTACTTTTGGCTTGATATATACGTCGTGCTGCATATTTTGGGAACCATTGTAATATGACTCATAAATACTAAAACTTGAATTCATTATATTAATCGATATCATATAGAAAAATAAAGAATTTTAAAATATTTACAAAATATAATAATATGTTTAAATAAATATTAAGAAAATATGTATATATATATATATATATATATACTTAGTATTATTATAAAGTAGATATTATTTATTTTTGATATATTCTTGACATTCTTTAATATTGTAAGAAAAATAAATAATATAATCTCTTTACATGTCAACAATGTACCCAAATACATAAAATATTATTATTTAAGAATAAAATAATGTAATTAACATTGGTCAACAAACCTAATTAAATCCGTCTGATAGTGGGAAAGTCACTGCAGCCTCAACGTTTTTATTTTTACTTTTATAATACAATACAAATCACTTTTAGCGTCATTATACAATAAAAATAGGTACGTACCACTGACTTCATGGAAAAAAGTCGATATAATTACTTTTAAGTATGAATTAATACAGTTTAATGAAATATACCGTACAAAATAAAACAGTTTAAAACCGTGCCTCCAGTGTCATTCATCACAAATGGTATGTCCATATCATTTCGTTACAGTACATGGCCTAAGACTCAACGCAATCTATCCGAGTGGGCATTCGAGCACACCGATTTTGTTTCAAGTATTCAAGTATTAAGTCAATACGCTAATGCTTTTCACTCGAAATGACGATTACTTTGATCGTGTAAACTGTCGAACCGTTATCGTTTGTTTACAATCTAGTTCAAGCTGAGTGAACTGCACAGTCAGTGTAATCGTATGCATTATGTAATATTAATGATATTTAATAATATTGATACATAATAGCGTTATAATATTACAAAATTTCAACAAATTATTCAAATCTCAAATAATTTGTGCTTCTTTTTAGATATAATGTTATTATCGAATAAAAAGCGGTAAGACGACCAAAGCAATACCACGGTGTACGTCCATTGAATGTTTTCAAAACTAAATTTTATAAAAAAAATATTCTAGCAAATTCTAGAAAAGATATTGGAAACATAATTGATTTGTTTATAAGTACACAACTGTTAGTTGATGAGCTAATATATATACTACTCTATATGCTAGTATATATGAATAATTAATGTTATTTATGTTACAATATTTATATACGAAATAAGACCTATACTGTATAACTAACGTTTTACAATTATCAACGGAGGTTTTTATACTATTCTTTCTATTCTTTCACACCACTAGGTTTAGTATTTTGATGTTGGAATCAACAACCGTCTTATTTCAGTTGAATTTATTAAGTTGAAAAAATTACAGAATACTCGTGATGGGAACATAAATAATTAACAATTATACAATGTAAAAAAAAAATTCAATAGCAGATTAACTTATAAAATAAAACATAATAGAAAAAAAAAATTAAATATGCCCGAATATTTTATTTTCATTGTTAAAAAAGCAATTGAAAAAAAAAACACTAATTAAAAGATAATTTTTTTGATAAATGCGTTGTAGTTTATCTGAGAATGTTGGCAATGAAAAAAAAAACGAAAAACATAATAATCGTATTATCAAAATACATTATTTTGAACTTAATTCCATTTTTTTATTTTTTTTTTATTCAATTTAGTTTTCTACACTATTTGTGTACTATAATATTATGCGACTGTTCCGTTCGTTCGTCGGTTCGTCTTCAGATCTCGTTGCCATGTACGATTATTATAATTTATTTCATACATTATTGTTTTAAACGATATCCATTAAATGCATTACTTGCGTAAACTTGTTTCGTACGGTCGTGTATTTGTATTCATTACTATTGAATATGAGTATTACAATAACATATGAAAAAATGAAATATCTATAGATCTATAAACAAAGAATAGTATGATTAGGCAAAAATATATTTCAAAAAGATAAAACTAAATACTTATATTATAGTATAAATAAAACTTTACCGGTGAAAATATTCGTAGGTTTAGCTCGTAGTATCAATTCCATAGTTATCTAAAACAATATTTTATTTTATTATTTCTATTCTAACTATTCATTGACTCTTGCAATATATCTAATCAGGGTGTTTTATATTTATTTTGAAATTATACATTATACTCACATATAACTAGTTAAAATGTAATAAATAATGTACGATAGCAAACACTAATCGTATTTCAGAACAAGATTATTGATTTTTTTAGTTTGAATAGGTATTGTTTCTATATGAAAGTAATTTTTGATATTCTGGAAATGGGAATCACATCAACGTCAAACACCCGTCATTCAAGTACCTGAAAATATTTTTTTGTCATGCCTGTGCTAAAAATTTGGTTTTCGAACGTGGTTGAAAGCAACCATTTTCCTTCCAATGGACGGTAAAGTTGAAATCCCCAAAAGTGCTAGGCGCGTGTTTATAGCACAACCAGAAACCGAAATGTACATCACGTAAACTTTCAGTTAAATCTAGTATTCATGTTACAGTTATACAAGTCCTTACATAGATTCCTGAATTTACGTTTCCTCGAAAGGAGGGACGTGACGAAAAATAGTACGGTATATTTCAAAAACTATAATAACCGTTTATCGTTTAAAAGCCGATGATAGGGTTTTTTTGTAATCGGTTGCCGGTTAAAACCGGTTTTTAAAAGTCACATTTTTCAATTTTTTAATCATATTTTTAAAACAGTTTATTTATGCGATTCATGGGTTGATAATATAACTTTTATTATTACAAAATCAAAAACTTAATATGCTTTAATTTGGTCGATTTCACTCAATTTCAATATTTATTTTTTCAAACTGCTTTAAAGTTTTAAACATATTATGATCAAGATAATGATAATTATAAAACTAAATTGCATAAAAAAAATGTATTGTTCTAATTTTCTTATTTATAACGGTAAAAAACCGAAATTAAATATAATGATTTTCTAAGATGACACTAAGATTGATACATTGCTACAGAACTTTTGGTTATATTGTATATAAACACAGTACCCCAAAACCTGGATAAGCAGATATTAAAATATCATATATACTAAATGGATTAAGCCTCTATTCCACCAACTATTTCGTAATAGGAATCAGCACGCCACGACGACGTTTATGACGGTATTTATAATGTATAGTTATACCTATATATATTAATGGCCGTCGAGTATTGCTTATCTATTGTGAATATCATATATATTATATATTTAAGCAATACTCGATGGCCATTAATTATGGAAAAATATTTAAAAATAGCGGGAAAATTAAATTTAACTAAAATAGTACAATGTAATCATAACATAATTCAAGTATTAATACCACGCAGTGCCGTGCCTAGCATAATCAGCGCCCGGGGCGAAGAATAATTTCTAGCATCCCCACCTCCTCTACCAAATATTTTTATACTTGTAAAAACATTAGGGAAGAGCCGGAGATAGAATCGTCAGATTTACCTTATTTTTCACATTAAACATTTTTGTCGACATGTAAATTGTACAAACACATCTAAAGATGATATGTAAACAAGGAGAGAGCCTTTTTTGAATATATTTTGTGAATAATATTGACAATTGCAATAGTATTAATAATTATTATACATTTTATTTGAACTCAAAAATTCACCAAATCTGTATAATATATAATATAATAGTTATAACTTATAAGTATGAAATAGTATAAACATGTTATTAAAATAGGTGATAATGTTTGAAGTAAACAGTATATAAGTTAATATGTTAATCAAAATAAAAAATCGCATCACTGAGTTAATTATTTTTATTTAGGTTACAAGTATTAAAAATGTATATCATCTTAATTCTTAATTTAATATTACTAAACTTTTGAATGGATTTATAGTAAATAGTCTTAATAAAATACTATAACAATTAAGTTTTTAAAATATAATAAGTACTTGACTAGATTTTCATAAACTTATTTTTCGAGATTTGATCGATGTGAAATTTTCAATAACATCATCAAAATTGATAGTTTGTGTTATTTTATTTTCTATTGACAGTATAGCAAGATTCGATAATCTTTCTTGAGTCATGGTTGAACGGAGATATGTTTTGATTAATTTAAGTTTACTGAATGATCTTTCCCTAGATGCAACAGTTACAGGAAAAGTAAGTAATAGTCTGTAAGCTATAACTAAATTTGGATACACTG